ACTTTCTGATGCATTTGCCCTTTGTGAAACATGGCTCTCTTCAGACAACGATCTTGCTTTCCACGATTTCAACATTATACGCCTTGACCGCGCAGATTCGTATGGAGGGGTGCTTCTGGGGATCAACAAGCTCCATTCCTTCTATAGAATCGATCTGCCTTCAGTGACAGGCATTGAAGTAGTTGCATGTCAGGTTAATATTCGAGGTAAATGCCTCAGTATTGCCTCAGTATATCTTCCACCGAAAACCGCGATCTCTCGTCAAAGTTTCGCGGATATCTGCACGGCTATGCCGGAGCCACGGTTGATCTTGGGAGATTTTAACTCTCACGGTACAGGCTGGGGGGAACTGTACGACGACAACCGCTCAACCTTGATATACGACATGTGCGACTTCTTCAAAATGACAATTCTGAACACCGGGGAAGCAACACGAGTAGCCAAACCTCCAGCAAAAATAAGCAGATTAGACCTCTCACTTTGTTCGAGTTCACTATCGTTGGATTGCTCGTGGAAAGTAATTCAAGATCCCTACGGTAGTGACCATTTGCCAATCAAAATTTCTATTACCAATGGTTCATCTTCTACTCGCTCGGTCGACATCGCGTACGATCTTACGAAAAACATTGACTGGCGAAAATTCGCGTCCGCGGTTCTTGATGCCAGTCAATCGGTTGACGTACTTCCTCCGCTGGACGAGTACTCCTTTCTCGCGCGTGTCATCATCGATTGTGCGCTGCGAGCACAGACGAAACGTGTTCCGGGTGTTTCCGTCCGCAAGCGACCTCCCACCCCGTGGTGGGATAAGGATTGCACCGACGCGAACAGCGAGAAGTCCGCCGCGTTTAAACGCTTCCGCAAACACGGTAAGGTCGGGGATTTCGAGCGGTACACCGACCTCGAGAAAACCTTTAAGGACTTAATTAAAGCAAAAAAACGCGGATACTGGCGTCGGTTCGTCGATGGTTTGTCGCGAGAGACTTCCATGAGAACACTCTGGAATGTCGGCAGGAGAATGCGAAACGCGTCATCACCGATTAATGAAGACAAGGAGTACTCGGACAGATGGATTTTCAGCTTCGCGCGGAAAGTTTGCCCGGATTCGGTACCGGTTCAAACCAACGTTCGTGATCGTCCGTCGGGTAATAACGAAATAGATTCCCCGTTTTCGATGGTGGAATTCTCACTTGCTCTCCTTTCATGTAACAACTCAGCTCCAGGAATGGATAGAATCAAGTTCAACTTGCTCAAAAATCTCCCAGACGTCACGAAGAGACGCTTGTTGAACTTATTCAATCAATTTCTGGAGCACAACATTGTTCCGGATGATTGGAGGGAAGTAAGAGTTATCGCCATTCGAAAACCCGGTAAACCCGCGTCGGATTATAACTCGTACCGTCCCATCGCGATGCTGTCCTGTATACGGAAATTGTTGGAGAAAATGATTCTTTTTCGTCTAGACAAATGGGTCGAGTCGAATGGTTTACTTTCAGATACGCAATTTGGATTTCGGAGAGGCAAAGGAACGAGCGACTGTCTTGCGTTGCTTTCAACTGAAATTCAACTGGCCTATGCGCAAAAACAGCAAATGGGTTCAGTTTTCTTGGATATTAAGGGGGCTTTTGATTCTGTTTGTATCGATGTCCTTTCGGATAAACTCCACGATTGTGGGCTTTCACCAATTATGAACAACTATTTGAGCAACTTGTTGTCTGAGAAATATATGAGCTTTTCTCATGGAAACTCGACAACTTCACGAATTAGTTACATGGGTCTCCCCCAGGGCTCATGTTTAAGCCCCCTTCTTTATAATTTTTACGTAAAAGACATTGATGGTTGTCTTGATGAAAATTGCTCGCTAAGGCAGCTTGCAGATGACGGCGTTGTGTCCGTTATAGGGCCAAGTGCACCGGACCTGCAAGGACCATTGCAAGATACCTTAGACAATTTGTCTACTTGGGCTATGAAGCTGGGTATCGAATTCTCTCCGGAGAAAACTGAGTTGGTTGTTTTTTCTAGGAAGCATCATCCTGCACAGTTACAGCTTCAACTAAAGGGTAGAACAATCACTCAAAGTATATCTTTCAAGTATTTAGGTGTCTGGTTCGATTCCAAAAGCACGTGGGGAAAACATATTGCGTATGTGAAACAAAAATGCCAACAAAGAATCAATTTTCTTCGTACAATTACCGGAACTTGGTGGGGAGCACACCCGGAAGATCTGATCAGGTTGTATCGAACAACCATCTTGTCGGTTCTAGAGTACGGTAGCTTCTGCTTTCAATCCGCGGCGAAAACACATATCTTGAAGCTGCAACGAGTTCAATACCGTTGCCTACGAATCGCGCTTGGCTGTATGCACTCGACGCATACGATGAGCCTCGAAGTACTCGCGGGTGTTCTTCCACTGACAGATCGTTTCGCGGAGCTGTCCTTTCGGTTTCTTATCCGTTGTGAAGTAATGAACCCATTGGTAATAGAAAACTTTGAGAAGCTGCTCGACAGAAATCCTCAAACAAGATTCATGAGTCTCTATTACGATTACATGACGCTGGAGATTGGCCCTTCTTCATTCAATTCCTCTCGTGTTTGCCTCCAAGACTTTTATAGTTCCTCTGTAAATTTTGATCTGACCATGTTGCAAGAAATCCGTGGAATACCAGATCACCATCGGTCGATGGTTGTTCCCTTAATTTTTGCAAACAAGTACCACCATGTTAGTAACAATAAGAGTTTTTTCACAGATGGGTCAACTATAAACGCTTCCACTGGATTTGGAGTATTCAACGAATTTCATAGCGCCTCATATCAACTGCAAAAACCCTGTTCCGTATACGTTGCGGAACTAGCAGCCATATTTTACGCAGTAGAGCAAATTGCCTCACTACCATCTGATCACTATTTTATTTTTACTGATAGCCTTAGCTCGTTGGAGGCTATTCGATCAATGAGGCCGATGAAGCACTCCTCGTATTTCCTGACCGAAATCCGAGCTAAATTGAGTACTTTATCTAACTGCTCCTATACTATCACCTTAGTTTGGGTCCCATCTCATTGCTCAATTCCGGGCAATGAGAAAGCGGACTCGCTAGCTAAGGTGGGCGCTATGGAAGGCGATATTTTTGATCGACAAATCGCCTTTGCGGAATTTTTCTCAATTACCCGTCAGCACGTCCTCACCAACTGGCAACAAAAATGGAATGAGAGTGATCTGGGAAGATGGTTACATTCTATTCTCCCACAGGTATCGAACAAGCCATGGTTCAAAGGATTGGACATGAGCCGTGACTTTATACGTGTCATAACAAGGCTCATGTCCAATCACTACTCGTTAGACTCGCATTTCTTCCGAATCGGGCTCGCAGGCAGCAATTTGTGCGCTTGTGGTAGTGGCTATCACGATATCGACCACGTGCTTTGGTCATGCACCCTACATTGTGTTGCTAGATCCGAGTTATCCGCATCCCTTAGGGCCCGAGGAAAACAACCTATGCGGCCCGTTAGAGACATCTTGGCGAGCCGAGATCTCGATTATTTTAATTTAATTTATGTGTTTTTAAAACGGATCGATCTGAGGATTTAGTAGTTAGTGTCATCTTGTGTTCTCTCAAGTTGCTAGGTCTCCATCGGTGTACCCCCATGTTTGTCTTTTTCTCCAGTATGTCGCTTAGTTCTAGATCAAGAGCACATTGCTCTAAAAAACCTTGTGTTCTCAATCCCTACCCTGCCACCCGTTTGTTACAATTTGTTACCCCTAACCTCGAGAAAGCCGCGAGTAATCGGCCCCCGCTTTACTAACGTTAGTTTTAAGTAATTTTGTACCCAAACGATGAATATCGGCTCCGCAAAGCTACGGCAAATGAGCCTGGAAAAATAAACGCATTATAAAAAAAAAAAAAAAACTCGGCGCGTTTCTTGGCCCGCTGCACAGTAGTATGGGATACATTGTGCTTGCCAGCGACGTCCCGGATGGAGAGGTTAGGATTCCGCTTGTATTTCACCGCCATCTTCTTCGTCGTCGCTGCCACGTCCGGATTACGTTGTCGCCACTTCCAGGCTTCCTGGCGGTTGACAGACGCTTCCCGAACACTTTTAAAACGTTTGGCACGGTCGATTTGGCCACATCCAGCAATTTTGTCAACTTGACGTGCGAGAACGTCAGATTCTCTTGCTGCGCGAGCAAAATTTTGACAAGCTGCTCCTCTTGCTTGGACGTCATTTTGAAGGAGTGCAAACGGTGAAAACTCATCATAGCAACCATTGTATAATACACTAAACTTCAAAATGCAGCATTTCAGGTTTTTATGCATTTTTGACCAATTTTTGCGTGTTCCAGACTTTAATTAGGGAAAGTACTCTAAAGATCATTAATCACTACATTTATCGCGGAAATTTTATACAGTTTCTTACTTCAAGCTTAGGCTGGCCGTCTAACCCCGTCGACCCCTACTCATTGTTACAAAATTCTAAGATCCACTCTAAATTTTGTCTATGGAATTGCTAACTGCATATCAAAGCCATTACGAATGCATGCTGTTAATTTTTATGGGAATTGTATTTTTAATTAATAAAGCGTCGTTTGATAAGTGCTAGCAGTTATATTTTCTTTCAAGTTGTGTGATGGCGCTCACATGGGTTCTGCATTATGATTTAAACAACCATTTCTGATGTTTATATAATAATCATTCGTTTCTTTAGAGAAGACTTTCTAAAAAAAAACATCTGCAATAGTGCGTCATACGCATATCGCTTCATCGCAAAGCACTTCACCTTTGCATGCCTGTTAGTCGTAGACCCATATCGTTCGTGTCGTTGCCGTTTTGCCTGTTGTCCTTTTACAAGCATAATTCCGAAATCAATAACAGCAAACAACGTAAACTTCCCTCTGCCTCCCCCCCTCTCTCTCTCTCTCTATCTCGCTGTGCTATCACACCAACAATCGCATTACATTGTATGCCAAATAGGTGAGACAGTGGGTGACCGAGAGGCGCGCGCTGACGACAGCGCATGCGTCCCCTTTGTGTTTGGTGGTGAAAATTTCCAGTTCTCCACAAACTGTTGGAAATTCCTTGAGTGTATCGATATTCCTGGAGCAATAAGTCAGTAAAAGTAAGTTTTGAGCAAAGTTTTAGTTATTTAAAATTCCAATAACGTTGGCGTCTGTTAAGGCCCAAGTGAAATGCTAGCAAACAGTGACAAAGGTGTTATATTTCACTGATAAATCGATGTTTGTTTCGTTTTTCCTCACTTGCAATGCTGCAACAGGATATTCGCAGAAGGTATGAGTTGTCTAGGCGATTGCTCCGAATTGGGGCCACCGCCCGATATGATCCTGTCGATGCCTCCGCCACCGTTGTCGTCGTTTCTGCTGCCCCGGAATGCAATTGCACCGCGTCCGGCCAACAGTTCGCTGTCCTGCATTGCAGCCTTCATGTGCGAGCCCTCGCTTAAGGCGAACGAACAGTCCGGAATGGAGTTTATTGAGCTATCAGGAAATGGTGAATAATTTATATCGATTTCTTTACTACGGAGAGGGTTTGATGCTAAATTGTACTCTTTTTTCCCATTCCACTATTTTACTCGAAAAACAATAACCACAGGAATGGACGATACATGGGTCTTCGTGTTAGTTTCGTCCTGTGTGGGAGTTCTACTTCTGGGAGCTCTGCTGGCGATGATTCTGATCAAATGCAGAGAGTATGAAAAGTTCGCTCAGTTGGAACGGGAACATTTAATTAAAGTTTGTCTTTTGCAGTGCATACAACTACTCATACCACGATAGCAATCTGAAGCATCCACCACTGTCGGCGTTGAACGAACCCCAGCTTGGCACAGCCAAGTCTGGATTCATGCCGGGAACTATCCTCTACCCCACCAATCACCAACTGCCCCAGGACAATCGCACCCTGTGGGCGACTCTGACTCCTCACGGAACAACTCAGCACTTCATTTCCGACTCGTACTACAACCCGGAAGACCATTACGAAGTCATCGACTACGGACGCAAGCATGAACAGTACATCCCGTCGAACCAGAACACAATCGTCAAGAACAAAAATTCCTTCGAAAACTCCGGCTTTGTCGATTACGATTACGAAGACCCGACGCCGTTGATGGAATCGTACCAGAATTTTGACGACATGGACTCCGGCTACCAAGAGCCCCAGGAGGTGATTGGATCGCTCAACCGGACCCGTTCGATCGTTTCATCACCGACCAGAATCGAAAATCCGAACCTGGCACCGTTGAATCTCTACCCGACGCATCGCAGCAACGGGACGCTCAATAAGAAAAATACAACGCTCAGCCGACGCATCAGTGATATCAAGAACTAAATAAGCGCAGAGTGAATTGCTTTACAATCTTCATTTTATTCAAAGTGATAACTAACCGAGATTCCTACGAACAAAATACCTTTATTTGAAGGAAAACATAAAACTAAACAGACACATTGCATTTGCAGCAAGTATTATTTATCGCATACAAACTAATTTTTTGATCAGCTTTTGGGACGAAATGCTGCCGCAATTTTATTCGAACTAGCAGATTGTATTTTAAGGTAGAAACGTGAGCGACCTTAGTTTCGTAGGAGCCGTACTTTGATAACATAACCACAACACAATAAATGTCTACACATTAATGCATTTAAGGAACTCGTCACTCGTCCTGCCGTAAGCTTAAACTCAAATTCACTCAACAATCGTGGCAGTAATTAAAAACATATACAATTGCATGCAGCAGGTGCGATTGAAAAATAAAATTCAATGGAAGGTTCTGATTCCTACATGTGTACTGTTATTGTAGGGATAATGAAAATGTGTAATGATCATTGACTTGCATCTTGATACAAAATTCAAAACAATAAAGACAAGGGTGAAATATGAAATTGGCTGAAGTATTATTAATATTTGAATGCCATTTAAAAGGATGATCGTGCTTGGGATTCTCGGGGAACTTTGGGGAGTTTATTGCCAGTTTGAGGAGATTGTGGTGCGTTTCCTTGCTAAGTTATCACGGTCTTTGTTATCTGACAGAAAACTAGTGTTTCTAACAGACCAAGTAGCCGGTCGAATAACACGAGAGCGTGGATACAAAACCGCATTTAGCTGTAGGCGTGGTGGCGGCCTTGAAACCGTAGATGAAACAAGCTTTATAACCATTTGCTCAACCAACTGAAAGAACCCCCAAAGGCCGTAGGAGCTGTCTAGAAAAAAATCCACGCCAAATTGCGATAAAATAGACGGATTTAGATTTCACTAGCACTGAAAAAGTGTCATCTGTTGCAATATAACACATTGGATCATGTCCTATTGTTGCATTGTTGAAGAGTTGATCAACCAAAAGCCTTCAAAATAAAGATTTCTGATCACCTGATGGTCTTTGTTTTTTTTTTTCTTTTCGGAGCATCATGACAAAATATTCAGGAGATGTGATTGGAATTGAGATCTTCAGTCAAATAGTACCTGATCAAACTTAAGTCTTGAAAACATATCCAGACGACTTTAAGAAGATCTTAAAACACATGAAGGACTTTGGTATGATTTTATAGATGCCGTGTTTCACCATGAGAGAAAATGTGAGAGATGCCATATGGATTATGGAATACTTGGATATCTTTATCACTGTCACTATCACTGATCAATCTGAAATCTTGAAAAAAAACATCATGAGGTTTTCAAGGTGATCTCTTATCATTTGGTGTTGTTTTAACTAATTTCTCAGCAAACTGGATTCATTGAGAATATCTTGAAAATGTGATTTGCAGTGCTCGGAAAAACTCAAAAACTCTAATCTCATTCACAAGTTTATGTACCTATGAGGTTTGTCTTGCCAAGATTAAGTCTAAAACAAATATCATGAGGATATTTTGGAGATATATGATTACTTGAAGGTTTTGTGAATAATTTCTGAGTAACCTAGTATCTTGTAAAATGCATGGGAGATAAGGTTTTAATTGAAACAGCAGCGCCAGTGGTGTAGTGGTAAGCGCGATTGCCTCCCACCCAAAGGGCCTGGGTTCAATCCCAGTCAGAGCCGCCGGGACGTTCTGAGGCATAACATCTCTGATCACGCCTTCCTTCGGAATGGAAGTAAAGCCGTTGGTCCCCGGTTCATGAGTTGATGAGTCGATAGGTAGGGTCCAGGTGTGGGAGCTGCCTTCAGGGTAACGATAGCATTGGTACTCTGTACGGAAAACAAGATCAATGAAAAACAAATCAAGGAAAAAAAATAATTGTTATTGTTGGGTAGTGGCATTTTGGTAATCTTTGATCTCCTGGAGGACATCTTAATAATTTTTAAGCAATCTGGTGTGATTAGAGTATACCTGGAAGATGTGATTGGACTTGTTGGACAGTTGAAGATTTTTTGGAGATCTATGATTACCTCAGTGTTGGCTAAAATCAAGATCAGAAAATCAAAATCAGCAATCTTTCAAGATCAATATCACCTTAAATCACAGGAATCAATATCACAAGCCATCATCATCACGAAAATCACACGTGATTTTCGACCAATATCAGCCGTGATTTTCAATTCTCAAGATCAACCAGCATCAACAAAGATCAAAATCATCGAAATTCATAGGATTAGAAGATATGTGGAATTCTAGAGTTTGGGGCATTCCGAAATTCAAGTCAACATTCCGGATGAAATTAAAATGGTGGATTTCAACCCAAGATGGCTCCCACAAATTCAAGATGGTGGACCAAAATCCAATATGGCAGCCCCTGGACAGGGAATATGCATCTAAACCTATGCAATATGGGTATCTGCGGAATGGACTCGCTAAGTGGAAGTGGAAAATTGATATCCGCCGCCATTTTGGAATTCAAGATGGCGAATGAAAATCCAATGTTGCGGCCCCCGAATAGGGAATATTTATCTAAACCCATGCAATATGGGTATCTCCGGAATGGGCTCGATGAGGGGAAGTGGAAAATTCAATATGGTGGTCATCAGACAGAGAATATGCAGCTTCACCGGTGATATAGGGATTCTGCGGAATGGGCTCGATAAGTGGAATTGGAAAATTGACATCCACTGCCATTTGGGAATTTAAGATGGCGGACCAAAATCCAATATGGCGCCGGACAGGGAGTATGCATCTTCACCAATGATATAGGGATCACCACACGCTCGCCAAGGGCTGGTCGATCCAACGAGTGGAGTAATAGTGTGGTGAGCAGGGCTGAAAAAATCACTAAAATTCATCAAAGTTCACTATGGGCGAAAAACTCATTTCATAGTGAATGCTGGTGATTTTTTCATGATTTTTTCAACCCTGGTGGTGAGCCGTTTTTCCTGGTCCACGGTTCAGAGCAAAAGAAGAGATTCGTACTAGTACGACGCGAGTGCAGGAACGGTCAGTGTGTGGCTTAATAAAATGCCAAAAATGACATTGTGAACCATTGGACCTTAACTACCCGAGTCGAAACGAATATCTCAATCCCTTAATGTGGTATGGATGAGCCTGACATAAGAGGTAAAATACCAAAAATAATACCAAAAAAAAACACAATACTATTCCAATACCAAATTATGATAATGGGGCTTATTACGGATGTCACTTCACGGTGAAAACTTGTCACTTGTCGTCACGGTGAAGTGATTCCCATTTGATTTGTACGGCAATCACGGCTCTTATTCTGAGTATCACTTCCTAATCACCGTGTAGTGACACCCGTAATAAGGCCCAATGTAATACCAAAAAAAAAATACCACACAGGTATTCTTTTGGTATCAAAATATCAATTTTTGTTATTTTTAAGTACATGCATTTTTTGCTATTATTCTTTGGTATTTTACCTCTTATGTCATGCTGGTCAATACCAAATTTAGGTATCAGGTCAGATTTAGGTATTCATTAGTTATTTTCTCCTGCTCGGGTAAAGACCGATCAAACTAACGTTAAAAACATCACTCGACTGTTGTAAGACACTCGGCGGGCAAAGCGAAGTGAAACGCTGGCCTCCGTTACACAAAGGCCCCTTTTCCACCGCATCTGGAATCCCCCCATCGTCTGAAAGCCCTACACAACTGCGTACGTACGTTGGCAACCTGCCGACGCCGCCAAGTGAGCCCATCCCGCCATCACATCGATGTCGACCACCGATTCATCACTGCCGCAACGAGTTCCAGTAACTACACACTACTAAAAAGTCATGTAAATTTCGGTTCTCTGAGACCGACACATGTAAGCGGCCCTTTTGACATAAGAATCAGTTGAAAGAAACGTGAAAATCAATGCTATCAAACGTTCTCTTCGTCGACTAGCTGATGTTTCGGTTTGAGAACACTTAATTTTACATGAAATGTTTGTTTACGTTCTATGATTTACGTCCAATATGGATTACGTCTCGTGTAAAAGTAGTTATTTCTAAGTGTGTAGTGGATGGAGTAATAAATGCGCAAGTACTGAATGAACCCTTTTTGCCTTTTCTCACCACTCTATACACTCAAAATAAAAGCAATGTAAGGCCTAACTACACACTACCAAAAAAGCATGTAAATTTCCGTGCCCTGAGACCGACACATGCAAGCGGCCCAAATGACATAAGAATCAGTTGAAAGAAACGAGAAAATATATTCAATCAATCGTACTTTTCGTCGAGTTGTGTATGTTTCGGTTTGGGAACACTCAATTTTACATGACATGTTTGTTTACGTTCCATAATTTACGTCAAAGATGGATTACGTCTCGTGTAAAAATAGTTATTTTTAAGTGTGTAAATTAAGCTGTTCATAAAATTATTAATTTGTTTGAAAGTTCTCTCTATGCTCTCTGCTTGTTTTCCGTCTTGTTAGTTTGTCCACTTCGCTATGGAAAAATAGAACATAACCTAGTAAACAAAGATTAGTACAAAAGGTGCTGAAAACGTTGAAATTTTTCTAGGTGGCCAATCATAAAACGACCCTATCAGTTCTTCATAAAGAGGCCATTGTAAGGCCCACCCCGAACGGTTGCCGTAGGCTTGACCAGCAGCCAGGGGCGTAGTCAGGGGTCCCTCTGTTCCTCTGGCATTCTACATCAAAAAGTAACGAACAAGTCCCAAAAGAGCGATCCATAACTGATATTTGATCCAGCTCTAAAGACACATATCCTGATGAGTGTTTAGAGCTCTAAATATCTGAATATCTAAATATCTAAAATCAGTAAAAATAAATGCCAAGCTGGCCAGCGGTGACAATCTCGGCAAAAAAATCTAAGTGTTTGCTACCTGGACGTCTTTTGAATAATTTCTAAGAAACAGAGTATCTTTGTTTAAGAGATTTTTAGCCATAGGCTAGTTCATCTCTAAACAGAGTATCTTGCAAAATACCTGGGAGATATGATTTGATTATTTTGAGGACCTTTTGGAGATCTAAAGAAGATCTTTAGATTAATTTCTGATCAATTTGGTGTTTGAGAGATGTATATGAGCTTGTTGAGTGGAGCACTTGATTAAAATTAAAATAATAGTAACTTTTTGTCCAGAAGTCGAATTGATTTACAGTTTTTGACAAAATTATTCCGCTTAGTAGCATGATAGTGGTTTACCACCCATTGCACAGTGGTCCAGAATGCAGATTTAGGTGTAATGATATGTTTTGAGCCTGAAATTGAAACTTTAGACTAAGAGTCTCTTCTACAAAGTTGTTCATTATAGTTAGGCCTTCATTTTTATGACAATGAATTCTAGGGTGGTTCCTATTATCATTAAAATCAAAGATCTAACTTTTTGTTTTAATAAATTAAGGTATACATTCTTTGGCAAAGTTATAGCTGAGCTAATTTCAAGCAACTTTGTTGAAAATAACTTTTTTGTATCTCTTAAATTGGCCGATTTAAAGCTATTTTCTTGAATTGAGTTAGGTTGGCTCTTAAAATAGAGTTGTTTTGCTCTAGTTTTCTTATTTAGAATTTTTTAGCAAAGGTGGCTTTAAATAACTTTTAGATCTTAAGAAGGCGCAAATTTTTGCTGCAAAAAGCTTGTCAATATCTTTCGCCGATCAAGAGTTATTGACGTTTTTATACTAAAAATATGCACTTTTCAAATGTTAATATCTCTGGTTTGGGCAAACAAAACAAAGTTTTTTTACGGCATTTGAAAGCGTATGTTATTCTCAATCATATAAAAAAATGGGAGGTATTTTATTTTTTAAACTCGTATAAAGTCAATTTGAATTTATTCATATTTTTTACTATATTTGGACATATCTTTTTTATTAGAAGAGATACAGGCAACAAATCCAGCTATAAAACATTCGTCTTACAGAGTTTTAAAAGTCTCTAGAAGATTACTTTCATGATAAATATCAAATTAAAAAGGTAGTGCTAAAAAACTATTTTTTCCAGGAACACCCAAAGTCAACTCCGAAAAATTACTGTAAAATGAGAACGTTAAGATAAAAAAAAATTTCTTCGACAAAGTTGCTTGCATAACTACATAACTACAACTTTTTTAAACAACACATGTTTTTATTTTATAAAACAAAAAAGTTAGTTTTAAAAATTCGCTAATTTGAGGACCACCCTGACGTTTGCAAACACCAACAGAAGGGAATTTTTAAGAACAAAAACTTCTTTGAAGACATTAAATGTCCAAATATTGAAACAAATGTACGAGCACATTTTATTTAAATTTGTCATTAGAGTGGTCCTATGAAATCCATCTTTTGCCAATAACATTTTTATTTGAAATTTATCATGAAAGTCATCTTATAGAGACTTTTAAAACTCTTTAAGGCGAATGTTTTATAGCCGGTTTGTTGCCTGTATCGCTTCTAATAAAAAAAATATACCCAAATATAGTAAAAAATATGAATAAGTTCAAATTGATTTTATACGAGTTTAAAAAATAACGTACCTCCATTTTTTTCTTATTATTGAGAATAACATACGCCCTTTCAAATGCCGTAAAAAAACTTTTTTTTTGTTTGCCCCAACCAGAGATATTAACATTTGAATAGTGCATATTTTTAGTATAAAAACGTCAATAACTCTTGATCGGCGAAAGATATTGACAAGCTTTGTGCAGCAAACATTTGCGCCTTCTTAAGATCTAAAAGTTATTTGCAGACACCTTCGCTGAGAAATTCTAAATAAGAAAACTAGAGCAAAACAACTGTTTTTTTTAAGAGCCACTCTAATTCAATTAAAGAAAATAGCTCTAAATCGGCCAATTTAAGAGATACAAAAAAGTTATTTTCACCACAGTTGCTTGAAATTAGCTCAGCTATAACTTTGCCCAAGAATGTATACCTTAATTTATTCAAACAAAAAAGTTAGATCTTTGATTTTAATGAAATGAACCACCCTAGAATTCATTGTCATAAAAATGAGGACCTAACTATAAGGAACAACTTTGTAGAAGAGACTTTTAGTCTAAAGTTTCAATTTCAGGCTCAAAACATATCATTCCACCTAAATCTGCATTCTGGACCACTGTGCATTGTAGCATGGAAACTAAGTCTGATAGCAGTGGTCTCTCTTCTCTGTTTGTCTTGATCAAGCTCAATAACCTCTGATTGTCCTCAACATGTCGCTGTATGAAGGGCCAAAAACGGATTGGGTGGATCGCCTATACGCATCTACGGAACAATAAAGAATCTCCTGTGGGGAGAAGAGCCCGCCCTGTATCCACGAAATTTTATCAACAGGAAGATGGCATTCCCACTCTCCCCGTCCAAATCGCTTCAATCGGGTGTCCTGTTGGACCCTCTCTTCCCTTTTGTATGTCTATTTAAATGTTATGTTATGTAAATGTTATATATATAATGAATCATCACTTATACGAGTCAATTGTTATGATTATTCTTAATAATTCGATGAATATGCTGCTACCTATTTACCTTTTGTGTGATACTTATAATCACAGAATCCAACTCTGAATCGTAGACCAGGTCCATTAACAATACACTCGCTCCGAGAAGGGGCTCATGGTACAACTCATCCTGTATAGTCATCATCTTCTTCTTCTTCTTCTTCAGGTTCGCTCACCACCAGGAATGAACGCTCGGTGCGGTTAGTAATATCTAATAGTGTTACATGCAAACGAAAAAGATAAAAAGAGATACAACCAGGATTAGTTTTTTAAAGTTATAGTTTCATCTGTAATCATATGGACAACTTAATACTTGTCCCATTTACTCTTTGAATCAACGGACACCAACATGATTATCTGATAGGAAACACCTGTTTGAAAGCTTATCAAAAATGCTAACTTTTCATATATAGGATATTTTAAAATTGACCAAAATCGTAGAACATCAAATTATGAAATTTGAGCATAGGAAATGATTTTCTTGAAGGGGCAGGTTTGACTTTCGGTCTATTCATAGCATTTTTCGGATTGAAAGAGCAACGTTCCATTTAGGACGTGAATAACAATGATGAAGAACATACTTGCACCAAGGTTGCAAATACTCATTTCAGCTTAAACAATGTTTTTTTTTTTAAATTATGAAATAATTAGATGCTATGATTATATTTTGAATTGGTAAGATAAAATAAGAGGTTGCAAAGAATGTGTTAAACATATTAAACCTGTTTATTTCACTTCATGAGAGTCACAATCAGCGATTTTTCACACACTTACTCACTCAGCGATCAGAAAATCGCTGATTGTGACTCATAGAAAGCAAAATTTACAGGTTTTATGTTTCAAACGCTTACTTTGTAACCTCTTCTTGTAAGTTACAAGTAAAACATGCCATCATACCATCTTTTGGTTTTATTGTTCCGAAAATCATTATTTTAGCTGAAATGAGTATTTGCAACCTTGACTTGCACACAACCTTGCTCAACTGGATGCAAGTTATCTTTTATCAAATATAAATTTCTTCTCAAAATGGTCCACGTCAAGAAAACCACGTACACTCCCTCACAATCCAAGTAGACTAACATGATATACCCTACACCCAAATCAAATGGCATGAACATCGAACGTAATGGTCGAGTTCTAGCTTGCATCCTTGGTATTTTTTCTTTTAAAAAAATGTAATGGCACTTTTTACAATGGACTGTAGCGTACAAGCAAGTTTTTTCTAGAATAAATATTTTCATTACATTGTATTTGGGAAAACAAACTTTGATCGAAAATTAAGCTAACATAATTTTTTTTAAATTATTTAAAAAATCATCCGCAACCATATTACTGAATATATTTCTTGTGGTGAAACATAAAAAGTTCTGTATACTTTTTTTGCAAATCTGTAATAGAATCTTACATTTTCCGGTTGCGTGTATCATTTATCATTCACGACTCAGCCGACTATCACAACCATTGCATCTAATGTAAATAGATCCTTGGCATTGTTAACAATATCTACCCTGCACGCTAACTTGACAGTACCCACTAATGAGAAAAATTCCACCCACTTTCAAGGAAATTTACTCAACACATTAATGGGTTAACTTTTACCCATTAGATTTTACTCATTAATGGGTACTTTCAAGTGAGCGTGTATTGCATCTTTCATTGCAGTAAAGTACTCCAATTAAAGGCCAGGTTCAACTGCTGATAACGTCTGATTACTAAGGATTGTAGCCAAATCCATGCGGGCTCAAATAATCGTGTTTTCTTTTAATTTTTGACCGAATTTCTCCTGGCAACAACCAAACCAGGAGAACAATGATCTTTTCAGCACATAAAACCTGGTACCTACCTCCCGATAGTCTAGTAAGTAAAAGCACAACCTAATAGGCTAGAGATGGCGAGCTCAATTCACGAACGATAAGTCGATAAAATTTTCAGGTTGTTTGTTCATTTACTGGGATCACTATGTTTGTAATGCATTCATTACTAAGAAAACTCTCAAAGGCATAAAGTTCCCGTTGGGTTGTATTAACCGGAAGAAGAATAAGAGGTGAACAAAGCTCCAAAATGCATATCAAGCCTCAGCAATCACCCATGCGAAGTGGATTGTTTCAACAGAAAGCAGTTGATACCACGGATCATCTTGGTCATCACCGATGTTTGTTTTTCAATGATGAACAAAGAGTTCTTAAGGAATGGGCTTCCTTTTCCCAACATCTGCCATCTCGGTGACACCTAATCTCACGGTTTATTACCCATTATAAATGATATCTCGTTAAAGTGGCTGGTCATCCGCAGCTTCTGTATCAGTCGTTGAAGGACTTCTCTCCCACATACGTCGGCATCAAATCGCATTCTGATTCGTTTGAGACGCGTGGTGTAGCCGCCATTGTCCAGTCTAAAAATAATCACGATCAAATCATATCACTTAAGCCGTAGTTGCGTGCGAAGATTCGTCAGCTGAGAAGATGTTCTAAGATAGTCGCAACGGGCATAGTCGGTGAATGTTTTCGGTCGAGTGACGTGTGAGCTGCTGCTAATTCTGCGATTGCGGTGCAGTTAGTAGGTCATATGTGCAGTATTTCCGAGAGGTGTTGAGTTCCGTGTTAGGAGAAGTAGTGTTTTTCGAGTAAAGATGACCATGGAAAGTCCACCGGAGGAAGTGGCACATGCCAGGCTATGGTTCAACACGATCGACTATGCGATATTCTTTTCGATGCTGGGAATGTCGGCGCTGATCGGATTGTACTATGGATTTTTCGCCAAGCAAAAGCAGAACAACACGGCCGAATATCTGCTCGGCAGTAAACAGATGAAGGTGTTTCCGGTGGCGATGTCGCTCACTGCAACGTGAGTATTATCTTCTCAATCAGTTTTCTTAAATGGTTCAATGCGAATGTAATGATGATGTAGTACTGGTAGGAAGCTTGGTAAAACAAGAAATAACTCGGTTCCGCCAAGATGAAATCCAGAAATGTACTCCTACTGATATATAGTCCCCTCCCCCACAATGATGGATCTATATCAGTGAACTTTTGAATACCCGTTCTCAATAATAGTACATATTAAAACAACTGCTCATGTTCAAAAGAAGTAAACATTTGCTAAACTTAAAGAATGTGAATGTGATAAATTTTAAGGAAAAACGAGTAGCATTCCCCGTTCTCAAATTTGTTTACATGTGTAGTAATTCTTGAAATGTCCCGTATCGTGGGTAGATCACCTTTTTGTTGTACGTTACGAGATGTTAGATATACCACTTATTCCTAGTCCTGTCTAGTTCAAACTAGTCAAAGGAACACATCTTAGTCAATGTTGCTTTTTATGCATTGTTACAAGATGAGTAAGTTAGTGTCCATATAGGGGAAATGGATGTAATGTCGGCCTACTTACTTACTTATCCTGGTCCGACATCCTTCAGGATTGCACCTGCATCACAATGTTACGCCAATTAACTCGGTCCGTGGCTGCTTGACCGTCCCACACTTCCAAGATCCTGCTCCACTTGGTCTAACCACCTTGCTCGCTGTGCCCCTTTTCGTCTTGTACCGGCCGGATTCGAGACAAACACCTTTTTTGCGGGATTGATGTCCGGCATTCTTAAAACGTGTCCCGCCCATCGTACCCGTCCAGTTTTCGCTACTTTCTGGATACAGGGTTCACCATAGAGTTGCGCACCGTACACCGTTCTCACATACCCCGCCAAAGATGGTCGTCGTTCAAAAACACCCAGTGCTTGCAGGTCCTCCTCGAGCATCGTCCACGTCTCGTGACCGTAGAGAACTACATTTACAGGTAAATTTAGTACAGGTGAAGTTTACCCGACCTCAGGGTCTTGTGGAGTCCGTAGTAAGCACGACTGCTGCAGTTGTTATCCGACGTCACCAATGATCTGAGGTACACAAATTCATCCACCACCTCGAAATCATCTCCGTCGATTGTCACGCTTCTGCCTATGCGAGCCCAATCCCGCTCGGTTCCTCCAGCTAACAGATACTTTGTCTTCGACGTATTTACCTTTAATCCAACCTTCTCTGCTTCACGCCACGGCCTGAAACGTTCTTCCGATAATGTCCACGTCGTCAGCGAAGCAGATGAACTGGCTGGACTTATTGAAGATCGTGCCTCGCATGTTAAAGCCCGCACATTTCATAACACCTTCTAGCGCAATGTTGAACAGGAGGCAGGAAAGACCATCGCCTTGTCGAAGCCCTTTGCGAGTTTCAAACGTGTCCGATAACGCACCCGATATCTTCACGCAGCATTGTGCACCATCCATCGTAGCCCTGATCAATCTGGTTAGCTTCCCGGGAAAACTATTCTCGTCTATAAGCTTCCATAGCTCACCCGTTGCGAAGTAATGAACCCACTGGTGATCGAAAACTTTGAGAAGCTTCTGGAGCTAAATCCTCAAACATGTTTTATTTTTTTTTATATATCTTTATTAAGGAGACTTTCAGCCGTTGGCTGGCTCGTCTCCGAAGGCATGTTTTATGATTTTGTACTACCTATATTTAACACAGGATGTCAGCCCTTCAAGAAATATTCTCAATCGTGCAGTCTTCTTCGATTTCGGCAATTCAGTGAATTTTGATTTATCTATGACGCAGGAAATCCGCGGAATTCCAAACCACCATCGTCCTATGATTGCTCCGTCATTATACTCTGCAAAGTTTGGCCATGTTGATTCTGCAAGAACGTTTTTCACAGATGGATCTCTAATAGAGGAGTCCGCTGGTTTTGGTGTATTTAATGAATTTCGTAGCGCCTCTCGAAAACTTGAAGCTCCTTGTTCTGTATATGTGGCTGAACTGGCAGCAATTGGAAACTATTGCTTCACTCCTTTCAGACCACTACTTTATTTTTACGGACAGTCTCAGTTCTATCGAGGCTATCCGTTCCATTAGGCCGGTAAAGCACTTCTCGTATTTTCTCTTGAAAATACGAGAACTTCTTAGTGCTTTATCCGTGCGCTCTTTCATCATCACCTTCACGTGGGTCCCTTCGCATTTCTCAATTTTGGGCAATGAGAAGGCGGATTCACTTGCGAAGGTGGGCGCTATTGAAGGCGACATTTATGATCGACAAATCGCCTATAGTGAATTGTTCTCTATTTATCGTCAGCAGTTGCTCGTTAGCTGGCAACATCAATGGAGTGAAGGGAGCTTGGGACGATGGCTACATTCAATTATCCCTAAGTTGTCGAAGTTTGCATGGTTCAAAGGGTTGGACTTGAGTCGAGACTTCATACGCGTGATGTCTCGTCTCATGTCCAATCACTATTGTCTAAACGCTCACTTGTTCCATGTGGGGTTGGGAGACAGCAATCTCTGTGAATGTGGACAAGGTTACCAGGACGCTGATCACATCCTTTGGTCTTGTGCGGAGTGTCGTGGAGTCAGATCACATTTTTATGATTCCCTTCGGGCTCGAGGTAGACAACCTAATGTTCCAGCTCGGGATATTTTGGCTAGACGCGATCTGGAGTTTATGAAACTCATTTATGTTTACTTTAAGAATATTAACCTTAGATTGTAAGTTTGATTAACCTTGTGTTTAGTTTGTATTTTGTACGTGTGAGTTTTCTTTTCAATTTTTGTTTTCAAGATGAAAAGAAATAATTTCATGCTTTAGGATTAATTAAATAGTTGTATCGTAAACCACATTTCAAACCTCCTTCTTCCCTTTTCCCATCCAAAAAATTGTAAATCTCCACTAACCTCGAGACAACCGCGAGTACTCGGTCCAGTTTCTTTAACTTTAAATATAAGACAGCAATAATGTATAACGCAAAGGATAACTCGGCTCTGTAAAGTTTATTCGATTGAGCCTTTACAAATAAAGTAATTATAAAAAAAATCTTCCAAAGCTCTTCACGGTCAATAGTGTTATAGGCAGCCTTGAAATCGATGAATAGGTGGTGCGTAGGGACTTAATATTCACAACACTATTGGAGGATCTGCCGCAACGTAAAGATTCGGTACGTTGTCGATCGCCCGTCCACAAAACTGGCTTGATAACTTCCAACAAATCTGCTTGCTATCGGCGATAAACGGCGAAAGATGATCTGGGAAAGCACTTTGTAAGCCGCATTAAGAATAGCGATCGCTCGATAGTTCTTACATTCTAGTTTGTCGTCTTTGTCATATACTGGGCATATTACTCCCTCTTTCCACTCCTCCGGTAGCTGTTCTGTATCCTGAACTATCAGTCGGTGCGGACAGGTGGCCAACATATCCGGGCCCATTTTGATAAGTTCCGCTCCGATACCATCTTTCCCAGCTGCTTTGTTGTTCTTAAGCTGTCGAATAGCATCCTTAACCTCACCCATCGTGGGAGCTGGTATGTCCCCCTCATTCGCTGTACCGACGCAGCCTTGGTCCTTCACCTCTGCGCCGTTCAGATGTTGATCGTAGTGCTGCTTCCACCTTTCAATCACCTCACGTTCGTCCGTTAAGATACCCCCTTCCTTATCCCGACACATTTCGGCTCGCGCCACAAAGCCTTGTCGGGATGCGTTGAGTTTCTTGTAGAACTTGTGTGTTTCTTGAGAACGATACAGCTGCTCCATTTTTTCGCACTCCAGTTCTTCCAGGCGGCGCTTCTGATCCCGGAAAAGATGGGTTTTCTGTCTTCGCTTCTGTTTATATCGCTCCACATTATGACGGGTTCCTTGCTGCAGCATCGCCGCCCGCGCTGCGTTCTTCTCGTCCAAGACTGTCTGACACTCTTCGTCGAACCGATCGTTCCGTTGCTTCCGCTCCACGAACCCAACGGCGCCTTCAGCAGCGCTGTTAATGGTTGCTCCAGCAATCCTCAAGAGAGGCTTCGGTGAACTCTCCCTCATCAGGCAACGCTGCGTCGAGGCATTGCACGTACTCAGATGCGACTTCGGGCAGCTTCAGTCGCTCCAGATTGTACCGTGGCGGGCGATGTTGGCAACGGAAAGTTTTTGGCGCACCTTGGCCATTAGAAGGTAGTGGTCCGAATCGATATTTGCGCCGCGATAGGTCCTGACGTTGATAATGTCCGAGAAGTGCCTTCCGTCGATCAAAACGTGGTCGATTTGCGATTCTGTCTGCTGTGGTGATCTTCAGATATGGGAGACTATGCTGGAAGAAGGTTCTACGTATGGCCATGTTCTTAGAGGCGGTGAAATCGATGAGTCTAAGGCCGTTGGCGTTCGTTAGCTGGTGAGCGCTGAACTTTCCTATAACCGGTCTGAATTCCTCCTCCTCCTGGTCGACCATCACGATGAAAGCTCTACTTAGTGGCCACCACCTCGGCCCAGCTAACGAATTTGATTCGCTAGTTGGGCCAACTGACAGAAGGCTAAAATTGATTGAAGCAAGTTGCTTGAAGCAGAGTGGAAAAAGCAAATAATTAAGTACACAATTTTTGTTTTTGTTTTCTTCTAGAATTTTAAATGAATCTCAAATGTTTCGAGCAAATACCAATCGTTAACATTCATTACATATGATTCGCAGTCCTAACCGCATATGCTTACCCCCTGGAAGAATTTATGATCGATTGTCAAATCCAATTTGACATGAGATTTTGACATCCAGTTGCTTTTTAATTGGGTCATGGCCCAACCAACGGATGCCGAACTAACAAGCAGCCCAAGTATTAAAAGCCCAACCAGCGAATTTGGACTGTATTTAAAATTAACCATCAACCGCTGAAACTATATGAATTATCGCGTATTTCTGTTGTTCATTACATACCAAGCGAAAACTTAATCATAGTTTGTTGTGGAGTGTTGTGGTTTTTAGATGCCCGATGACCCTGGAGGGATCGTGTTTGCTAAATGAGCAGAATATCATGGGTTTAATCTCAAGCTCTCCCAC